TTGAGTTTCACTAGTTTAGTCAAGAGTTTTTTAACCGAAATAAGTTTGATAAAATTGTTGTGTTGGTTTATTTTCCTGATGGTACAGTAGATTGACCCTGGACTGGTTCTGGAGCCCATCCTTTTTAGGCCAGCCCTCTGCGTACATTGGATCCTGCCTGGCCCTCCCTATTGAAATTGTTTGCCTCTTCCACTGGATACACATGAGAATATATATATAAAAAAATAATAATTTGAAAATAGCATACCCGGATCAGATTTAAAATATTCAAGATAAAAAAAGAAAGAAAAACATTTAAAGATAAGAAAAATCTGTGTGAAAAACAGTATCAAAACACTTAAATTAACATGTGAACTGCATGTGAACTAATTAACATAAGACATTACTTCTGACTTTTTTCACAGATTATGTGTCTCTCTGTCACTCTCACGACTAGGTTTGAAACAGTTAATCGGATTAATCATCATTAATTTATAATTGAAATAATCAAGAACTAAATCAGCAATTGATTAATCATTAACTGGAGTATGGAAACTCTGAAACAGGCCTTTAGCTGACAGAGCAATCCACTTAGAGCAGTAATTGTACCAATATTTAAAAAATAAATAAATCAGCATTTTGTATTTATGATAAAAAAAAAATGTGTCTGCCAATGTGCTCTTTCCAGAAATCCCCAAGTGCAAACATTTTTAGTTTCATCTGGTTTAATTTAGTAAAAAGCCTTCTTTAGAGAATCTTTGGCTATCCGATTATTAATCGATTAATTGAAAAAAATAATCCTAACATAATAATAGATGCATCGATTTGTAAAATAATTGTTAGTTGCAACAGTGGAGTAAAATATGTTGATGTATGTCTGTTCTAAGCCTCACAGGCTCCAAACGAAGTTCATGAGAGATTAGAATGAGTTCATACAGCTTCCTTCATGGCATGAAGGGGAGGACTGCTGAAGAAGATCCATATGGCCAGTGAAAGATATATTAACCTAGCAGGGAATGGCCTTGATGAACTCAAGTTGTTTTTCCTCCAAATGTTCATGTGCTAGAAAGTTCTTTATGTAGAGGTTGGATAGTTCCAAGGGAGAGTGTGTGTATTGGGAGTTGTTGTATAAATGTATTTACTGAGCTTGCCCCAGTCAGAGCTCTATCTCTCCGTCTAAGGACGTAAAATAAATCTGTATTTTTGCAAAAATTCGTCTCTGCCTCAGCTTCCAAACTCCACACAACCCTAGTCGGGACATAGTGTTAGTTTAGCAAATATGTAAACATCTTTTTTTTAAGGTTGTTTTTTTTTTTTTTTTTAGTTCTTATGGCACTAGTGGCTCGTTTTTCTGACAGTATTCTGACAGGAAAGGAGGTATGAGAGTGGGGAGGAGACATGCGGCACAGTTCCACAGGTCGGATTCAAACCCGGGTCGGCCATGTCGAGGACTAAAGCCTCCGTACATGGGTCGTGCTCACTATCCACTGCGCCACCTGCATGCCTGTAAACATCTTTTTTTTCCTCATAAAGTTACCTTCTGCACCCTTAACTCCCTACATTTAAACAAGGCTATGGGTCCCACCTGTAGCAGCAGCAGGTATTCAGGGATCCTCTGGACAGGTTGAAGGAGCAGAGTGTAAAGGGAAGGTCTGGATTCATCACCCACTATGTCACACTGATGGGGACATGAAACAGCAAACCAGGAAGAGAAGAAAAATATAAATTTGTAAATATGTAACAACTTTAGAAAGTGTTAATTCATAGTCTGAATTCTTTGTCACTTTATTATCATTTGTTGTCAGATCTTCTATTCAGTCTTACCTCCACAAAAGCACAGGACTTCATGGAGCTGGAGGCCAGCATGGTGACAACAGACAGACAGTCTGGAAGCTCCTTCAGATAGGACACGTAGAAGTCCAGAAAATCACTCTGATGGGAGACATAACCTTGATTAAATTAACTGATGCTCAATTTCACCCCTCCCCCATCCACGCCCCCTTTGATTGATTAATGTTTAAACATGCTGGTTTCCCTTCATATTCATGATGTATTCATATTGTAGAACAACACAAACCACCAGTCTGATAAAAACCTTTTTACCTTCTTTATCTCTGCAATTACAGGCAACCACCACAGTGTAAATATATGAAAATCCCTTTATTGTCCCACAATGGGGAAATTTATCCCATCTTCTTGGGGAGCAGTGGGCTGCCATTGTGTGGTGCCCAGGGAGCAATGTGGGATTAAGGGTCTTGCTCAGGACCCAAGAGTGCAGGCTGTGGGGATCAAACCGAGTCTTTGCAACCTTCTCAGAGAACAAGCGCACTTCTCTAACCACTAGGCCATCACTCCCACACTAACTATATCACTAACTGTATCTATCTCACAGAGGAGTGTAAACATAACATTGATGGACATTAATCAGAGAAACAGTCAGGAGAAGGAGCTGCTGAGAAGCACATTTAATTTGAGAGGTGTATTATCAGTTGTCTGCTTAGATTAAAACATATTATTGCATACTATTGGAATAATTAATGTCCTTATATAAATTCAATTAGGAATTTAGCCCCCTCGTTGAATCACTGAATTAACAAGTCGGAGGGATTTCAAGTCGGATGACCCCAGCTGGACTCTCTTCTACTATGGATTGGCCCATGGGAAGAGGTAGGGGGGGGTGGCGGTCTGCTTGTTTCCATCCAGCTCAGCCCTTTCCTGTTGGAGACAGTTTACACTCTCTGCAGGGTACTTGAGGGATCACAGGAGTTAGCCCAACTGGTCAAATAGGTTTTGTTGACCTGGGAAAGGCATACAACTGGGTCCCTTGTTGTACCCTGTGCTTCAGGAATACGGAGTCGAGGGACCTCTACCAGGAGACATTTAGTCTGTGCACAAATGCAGCTGGAGTTTTGTCCAGCATTAATTCAGACCTGTTACTGGTGCATGTTGGACCGGTTCATAACATTTATGGACAGGATTTGTAGGTGCAACCAAGGTCTGGAGGGGTCTGGTTTTGGGACCATCGGATTTTGTTCCTGTTATTTCAGGTTGACGCTGTTCTGCTGGCTCCCTCCTGCCAAGTCCCATATTAGCCGAGTGTGAAGCGATTAAATGAGATTCAGCACTTTCAATTGCAAGGCCATGGTTCTCCACCATAAATTGGTGGCTTGTCCCCTTCAGGTTGGAGGAGAGTTCCTTCCTCAAGTGGAGTAATTCAAGTTTCTTGGAGTACTGTTCATGAGTGAGGGGAGAATGGCATAGGAGATTGATAGATGGATCGGTGCAGCTGCTGCTACAATACAGACGCTGCACTGGTCTGTTGGGGTGAAGAGAGATATGAATGAAATGGCAAAGCTCTCGATTTAGAGGTCGGTCTATGTTTCTACCCTCACCTATGGTTATAAAATCTGTGCAATGACAGAACGAATACAATAATACCCGGATACAAGCAGCCGAAATTAGCTGTCCCAGCAGGGTAGCTAGGCAGTCTCATAGAGAAAGGGTGAGGAGCCATGTCATCTGGGAGAGGCTCCTCCACATCTAGAGGATTCTGTTGAGGTGGCTCAGGCATCTTTTTTGGGAGCTCCCTGGATGCCTCTTTTGGTAGGTGTTCCAGGCAAGTCCCATTGGGAGGAGGCCCAGGGGACGACCCAGGGGGGATTATGTCTCTGGACTCACCTGGGAGTTCCGCGGACTTACCCCAGCAGAGCTGGAGGAGGTATCTGGGGAGAGGGAAGTCTGAGGGTGTTTGCCCCCACAACCCGTTCCCTGATTAAGTGGAAGACGATGAGTATGAGTATGAGAATTCAAATCTAAAAATAATGTTAACAGATTTTCTCCATCCAATTTAATCTAACTACTCTTTAGCTACTTGGCCAGAGAAAACTGAGCATCTCTCTGTCTGCTGAATTGCAAAGAATATGTAGACATACATCCCAAAAGACCTTCAGAATGCCTCACATATACTTCTTTGAGATGATTTATCCAATAACCTTCCAGTTAAGTAATTCATGATTTGTTGTTAAAGCATGACAATATGTTTTAATTTCATGGCACAGTAAGACTTTTTCATGATAACTGAAGTGCATCCCCTTTATCTACTGAACAAAAAATTCATGCTTACTTCTTTACTGGTGAGCCTCATAAAAACATCTCCCATGATGCCTTGCCATTGACACCTGAGCACCCGCTCCTGCAGAGTGTGAAGGAGCTCCAAGTGCTGCTGGATCAAAAACCTTAAGGAGCTGGGAAAAGGACTGCAAACAGAGAAGTGGATGATATTAGCAGATTTGTTTGACTTTGCATGAATTTATATGACTATTTACAAATTAACAAGGACTAAGTAATTAAATCCAGCAAAACGGAGACATTTGCTTTTATTGACTCTCAGAATCTTCTTATAAACCAAAGTGGGCTTATTTTTTCAGCTGCTCAGGTGGGAAATAGCAACAGGTTTAGCAGGTTAAACAGAGAGAAGACATTCTTGTCCACAATTTGGCCCATTGCAGCTTAGGCTGCATTTTATCCTCATTGGTAACACGTGTGCTGCAGTCAAGCAGTGATTACATTAAGAAGCTCTGTCTTGGTAGTGTTTATGACCTTCTTTTATTCGATTTAGCTATTTCCTGTTGTTCCCTCAACGTAAGCCATCAAATTAGTTCAGAGCGCTATTTGGGAATGATTTTTGAAAGGCTGCTGACAGTCTTTCCCTAAATTTATTGAAGGCTTTTTTTTTTTATACTTGATGAAAAGATTACAAGAAAAAAAAATTTAGATAAGTGAAAATCCTACCGTTTGTCTTTGGTAGTGAGAGCTTCTGATCCGTTGAAGGAGATGTTAGCCTTCAGTAACAGCGACAGATGGGATACATAGACTCTCTCGGACTCCAACAGCTCCAGGGCAGCTCTTTGTCGCTTGTCTGCACAGATAAACACACCAGACATTTTTAACTATAAAACAATTGAAGCTTTCCAAAAAGACAGACCAAAGTCCAAGAATAGAGAACAACAGCAAAAACTTTGGAATACAGGACACAGATATTTGACCAAGTTTTTTCATATTTAAATGTAACAAAAAAACCTGACTGTTCAGTTTGGGTTTTAGCTAATGATTTATTATCCTACAAATCCAGTTTATAATATTGTTTTTTTACAGTTACTACTGTGATCATTATTGTTCATTTTTTTATTAATATTTCAGCACCTTAAATAAGTTTATTGTATCTTTTCCAACTGCCCCAGTTGATTTAGGTTAGAAGGATGCCTTTTCCAGACAGCATGTTTCAGCTCCTTCAGTAGGGGTTAGATCTGGGCTCATAGAAGGTCACTTCTGAATAATCCAGTGTTTTCCTCTTAGCCATTCTTGTGTGTTTTTAATTGTCTGTTTCTGGTCATTATCCTTTTTTTTTTTTTGCAAGACCTGTGAGCTGCAACTGAGATCAAGCTTCTGACACTGAGCAGCACATTTATCTCTAAAATCCCCTCATAGTCTTGAGATTTCATTGTACACTGCAGAGATTCAAAACACCCTCTGCAGGCAGTCCCAGAACATAACAGAGCCTCCTCCGTGTTTCACAGTAAGGACAGTAATCTTTGCTTGATATGCTTAATTTTTTCCATCTGTGAACATAGAGCTGATATTCTTTTGCAGAAATGTTAATTTTTGTATCATCTGTATATAGGACATTCTCTTCAAAGATTTGCAGATTGACAATATGTAGTTTTTAATTCCAGTCTAGATTTGTTTTCAACACTGATGTCCTCCTTGGTCATCTCCCATTAAGTCCACTTTGATTCAAACAACGGATGGTGTGATCTGACAGTGATGTTCCTTCAGCTTCAAGTTCACCTTTAACCTCGTTTAACATTTCTCTGACTCTTTTGTTACCCTTCATATTATCCGTCTCTCTGATTTGTCATATATTTTCCTCCTGCAGCCATGGCCAGGTAGTTGACAACATTCCCATGGATCCTTATCTCTTAAAAATATGTGTAGTAACAGGAACATCAAGCTGAGTAAAATTGTCTTATAGCCTTTATCTTTAACATGCTTGTCTATAATTTTCTTTCTAATCTCCTGGGACAACTCTTTCCTTTGCTTCCTCTGGTCCATGTTGAGTGTGTTACACACCATGCAACCGAGCAGCACAGTGACTATCTGTAATCCTATATATAGGATAGCACCACTGACTGATTACCAGATTTTAGACATTGTGTTGCTAACTTGTGGACAGACCTGGATTCAACATATCCCTTTGGTCACATTATTTTCAGTCTTTTCTAGGAGCTACACCTTTTTGATCTAGCTCAGTTTCAATTGTTTAGTTATTTAACTCATTTTTTGAAGACTGTCTGAAAAGCAATATCTGAATTTCATTTTTATAGATATTATTACTAGTAAGATTCAAGTTATTTCTGTCACCATTGTGGGTTTTCTTTCATAAAACGAGGGATGCCAGAAGTTTTGTCCTGGTCTGTAGTTGTCAAGTTATATTTAAGAAATTACCACCATTTCTGTTATTTTGTTTGTCATAATAACTTGACCAGTTTTTAAGCACCTAACATTTTTATCATAAGGAAAGAGCTATATATATATATATTTTTTTTTTCTTTTTCTTTTTTTTTTGCATTGCTAAATCTTGTTTTATCATGTTAGTTCATGGTTTATAGATGTTTTAATATTGTTGTTAGATTCAAAGAAAGATTTCTTACTGTTTTCAGTTTGATTGTTTGATATTTCCATCTGATCTCTGCTGTTGGTCTTCTCTCCCCATGTAGGAGATTTCTGCTGCTGAGCCTCCTGGTCGGACGTGGAGGCTGTGACATGTAAACATAAACCAGAATGAAAGGAATTAATACAGAATGATCCAAAACTATTGTGTTATCCCTCATGTCTTTACAGTTTTCTTTCTAAGGAGCCAAATTTTGTGTGTTTTTTTGTCATTCATTGAGGTTTTAGGACCATTGCAGTTTTATTGTCTATCAAGCAACTCAACCGTTATATGACAGACAGATAACAGAATGTCAAACCTAATGTCATATACAAGGTGGGACACTTGGAAGGGCAAGGCATGTTTATTTGCATACCACATTTAAATAGCAAGACAATTCAAAGTGCTGTACATGAGAAAATCACAAATGAATACAAGTGAACACAAGTGAATACAAATGAATAATTAAAATAAAATTAACATATAATAAATGATAGAAATGAATGATTATGAAATGAAAGAAAAGTTGGAACAAAAAAGAGCATAATAAAAGGCCACTATTAACAAATACATTTTTAAATCCCAATTTAAAGCAACTTAGGGTTTCAGCGGTTTTACAGTTTCCTGGTAGTTTGTTTCTGATAAGAGAGGCATTAGAGTTAAAAGCTACTTCTACATGTTTGGGTCTTGTTCTGGTTACGTATAGAGTAGATTAGAGGCAGAAGACATGAGAGGTCTGAGTGGGAGATACACTTAGAACACTGAACTATATTTAAGTGCTAAGCCATTCTGTGATTTATGACAATAAATTTTTTTTCTTAATTTTAGTGAGGACTCTAGCAGCAGCATTCTGGGTCATCTCCAGCTGTTCAATGGACTTTTTAGACCTGTGAAGACATCTTTGCAGTAATCAATTTAGCTAAAGATGAACTCCAGTTAGTTTTTCAAGGTCCTGCTGTGTTATTTCTTCTTTAGTATTAGAAATGTACTTTAGGTGATAGACAGCCCACTTAGTTACCATCTTTATGAGCCTCTGAAGGTTCATGTCTCAGTCCATCAATACAACCAAACTTTGAGCCTTATTGCCAGTTTCTAGCTGTAATAACTGGAGCTCTCTGCCAACTTTTGAACACTCTTCTTTTGGTCCAAAGAGGAACTTATTTTTTTTAATTTAGCAAAAGAAAATGTTGACACATTAATGCACTGATTTCTTCTAAGTATTCGCCCAGCATTTGAAAGGACACAGCACTGTGTCGTCTGCATTGTTGGTAACATGTTGCTTATTAAGAATGGAGTTAGGGAGAACATGTCGATACTGAATGAAATGGGCACTAAGAAGAACCCATGAGGAACACCACATTTAATATTTGTGGTCTCTGATGTAAAGTTTAAACGTATAATTACTGATGTGCCCAACTGCTGATAAAAGATGTCATTTTAGATGTAAAACAATGTCAAAAGGCCATTGCTGTTTTGAAAAGCTTATTTTTGTATTTTTTTTAAACAAGATAAAAAATAGTTTTGAGACTGAAATGTTTTTCTGAAATCAGTTTTTTTTTTTTTATTTGATCTTGGAAAATGAACCTCACTTTGGTTGCTTTTCCAGACTCACTAGTTTAAAACTTGGCATAATGGAGGAGAAGTACTCCTGGAAGGATGATGACGTTGGTGTCCTGACTGAGTGTTTGGTTTCTAAAGGCAGAGCTTTCAGACAGTCCATATATTTTTAGGTCTGACATCTCCAGTTTTCCTCCATTTGCTCTGTTTTCTGATCTTTTTTGATCTGATCTATCTTTCTAAATAAGAATTGATGTAAAGCTTCCGCACAAAAATACTAACTTTGTGTAGAAGTGTTGCTCCTCTGTGGAGACTCCCCCTGTGACAGAGTAGGGGGAAAATTATGATAAACGCTGAGCTCTGATTGGCTGGGTGTGCAGATATGTTCATCCTCAGATAGTATATCTGTCCTGGAGCTCTTCCTGCTGCTGGACCTATCAGAACAGATGGAGGTCAAAGGGTTTCTTTTTCATTTTAAATGCAGCCGTCAGATAGAAGAATAAAAGCAGACTGATCTCCATGTGGCTTGGGAGGATAATTGTTTACTCTGAGCACCTTTACCTGTGTGGAAGAGGGATTATATCCTTGTTGCTTTCGATCTGCATCAGCTCCATCCTCCTCTGTGCCTCCCTTTGTCTATTGGACATATCCCTCATGTGGAACAGTGCCACATTCAGCTCCTCCTGCAAGTACATTTTATCTAGTGACTACATTAGTGCAGCTATTGCAGTAAGGTTGTATCTGGAAAACATTAGTGGGCAAATTGCATCATGAAGACAAAGGATGACAGGAGAAGAATGATTAAAGAAGCAGCCAAGAGCTTTGGTAAGGCTGGAGGAGCTGCAGAGATCCAGAGCTCATGTGGGAGAGAAAATATTGTGGTAAATGCCACAAATCTGCCAGGAAGTGATTATAGAAAGAAATCCAAAAAACTTATATGCGAACTTTGCCACAATGGGCAGAGGATATGTGTGGAAAAGAAAAAGGCTCTGTTCAAACAAAAGATTTGATCTTTAGAAAACATGTAAAATGCTACAGGGGATGCAATAAGTATTGAACACACCACCATTTTTTTTCAAAACATATATTTCTAGAGGCGCTATTGATGTGACATTTTCACCACATTTCCATAGATTTTCTATTGGGTTTAAGTCAGGTGATTGGCTGGGCCATTCTAGCAGCTTTATTTTCTTCCTCTGAAACACACTGAGAGTTTCCTTAGCTTTGTGTTTGGGGTCCTTGTCTTGCTGAAATGTCCACCCACATTTTATATTCATCATCATCATCATCCTGGTAGATGGCAGCAGATTTTATCAATAATATCTCTGTACATTTTTCCATTCACCCTTCCTGAAAAACAGCCCAACGCCATGATGATCCCACCTCCAAACTCCACTGTTGGTATGTAGTTTT